TATAAAGATAAAAAATTTCAATTATTATTTATATAAATTGTTAAATTTTTATTTAAAATTTATATTTTAAAAATTAAAAAATTATATTATGTCTATTAAAAATAACGGGAAACTGGTTTGCAGCCGGTCCTGCAAATTTTTAGGCGGAATGACTTATTTAAACGACACCGTTTCAAGTTATAGCACTTATTCTCGTCCCCAAGGTTACCTTTCTCGCCATTCAACCCACCCTTGTTTCCAAAAACTTAGAAACCCCAAATAATTCTATCTCTGAATTCTTCATCTTCAATCACCACATCACTGCCCAACCCAATGATGGAAACTCATTAAGTGGAGATTGCTTTGGTTTTTTCTGTGAGCCTCCATGCTTTCTTCCACTCATCAGTTTTAGCTGCTGCTGTTGCTGCTGCTTATGCTGCTTCATCAATAACCACTTCACCTTTTATTCTTCGATTTTCCTCTTTTTCTCTTCATTCAGAACCCCTATTTTATCTTTGATTTCCCCGTCAAAAGTAAGCTTTCTTGGCTGGCACTTTTTGTTGGATCTTTTGTCGATAAAAGATAATCATATGAGCAGAGGTATTTCCGTGGGCCTTTCGGTTTTTGCCTTTTCTCATCTGGGTATTTGAGTTTATTTGAATTTCGAATTGGGTATTTGAAAAGATTAATATTTGTTTCTGGGTTTTTAATAAGAGAAAGAAAGAAATGAAGCCTGTTTCTGGGATTTTTGTTTTCAGTCAATTGTATACTTTTTGCTTGTGTCAAGGAAATACCTCCTGCTCATATTAAGGGTTTGTGAATTTTTGGAAAAAGGGAAAAGTTGAAGACGAGAAAAACAAATTTGGGGCGAGGGTTTAACTTGAAACGGTGTCGTTTAAATAAGTCATTCCGCCTAAAAATTTGCAGGACCGGCTGCAAACCAGTTTCCCGTAAAAATAAATAGAAGGAGTATATTTTAAAAATAATCTCACAATGTATTTGTAAAACTAAAATTTTAGAAAAATGTTCAAAAAAAAAAAAGGGAAAATGTACTGCAATCTTCGTTTGGCCATAAAGAAAAATGTAGGGGAGACAGTCTAAATCCAAGTCCCTTTACCACGTCGATCCCCATTTATTGTTCCACTCACAAAATCACGTCAAGCTTTATTCTATGATGCAATTTTTTCTTCACAAATTTAACATTTAACACAATTTTAATTATTATTATTACTCGCAGACTATAATTTCCACTTCTTCTCAACATCACTCTTGCTCTGTTTCTTTGATTAAAAAATAATGGTTTTAATGAAATTGGACCTTCTTAATGTGCAGGTTGACATTCCTCTCTTGGATGACTTGTATCTGAACTTCATTTGTGTACAGAAAATATGGCACAGCCAAATTACATTAATGTCCTCATTTGTTCAAAACTTGAGAAAATTGACTGTATGTTTCTGTGATAATTTGGAATATCTCTTCACATCATCGATGATTGAAAGTTTTGAGCAACTTGAAGTACTCAAGATTGGGGGGTGTAAGGAGATGCAAGTGGTAATACTGATAGAAGAATTGGTAGAAAAAGAAAAGACAAGCCAGACAATGTTTCCCAAACTAGACAGATTAGAGCTCCGTTACCTTCCACAACTCGTAAGATTTTGCTCCAATTGCAATTCTTTTGGAGAAGTATATGAAGCTCAAGGACTTAGTGGTAGTGGATCACAAGTAGTTGCAGCCGCACAATCAAAGTTGGTGGAAACAAAAGTCACTCAGCTTGTATTTCCTCGAGTAACATACCTGGAACTTAGTTGTCTACCCAATTTCAAGGGTTTCTTCCCTAAAATCCACATCACAAAATGGCTATTGTTGAAAAGAATGATTGTGCAACAATGTGACAAGGTGAAGACATTTGCCTCAGAATTTCCAAGCATTGAAATAATGGATGGAGACAACCAACTTGAAAGGCAAACTCAAGATCCTATGTTTTGGATTGGCAAGGTACGATCACCAAATGGGAAAAAATAATTGCATGTAGCTTATACGAATCATTTTTTCCTTAAATTTAAGAAGGAAAAAGTAGGAAAACTAAATCAAAATAAAATCAATCAAGGCTTACCTTCTTCTCTTT